CCCCAAACCCTAAACCCTAAATCTGAGATGAGGTTTCGGGGCTCTGGTCGGGGTTTGCTGTCCGGAGTTTCACGGCCCCTCATGGGGCGACCTAGCCAAGCCTACGGAGCTCGGAAGACACGGATCCTACGATCTATGGTCTACCTTAAGAACCCCAAACCCACTTTTTTGTAGGTTCTTACTATAAACCCTAATATAGAATTTATAGGGACCCTACAACAAAGTAGGTTTTGGGTTCTTAAGGTACACGCAGGCTTTGAATACTACAAGAGGCAAATGTTACACACATAGAATTTATCCGCAGAACTACCTACTCACTTATCGCAAGCAGCCTGATCATCGTCGTCCTTGTCTACTAGATCTCCCGAGACTGTTTAGGGTTTACTGTAGGGTGTCGGTTTTGGGTTTCTGGGCTTCGGGTTCAGCCCCGGTCCATCCCGAGTCCCCCCGACAGATCAGGAAGCAGCTCGAGCGCGAAGCGGACTTCTTTGCTCTGCCCGGCCTCGTCCACCATGTGCGAGCGCGTCTGGTGGAGAAGCATGTGCCTCGTGAAGAAGTTTAGATACCGTAGGGGTCTGAGCACTTACTAAGACTAAGACAATCCCGTTTAGTTTTTAGTCTCTAATGAAACTATGGCATAATGATGTATAATGTACCACCCCAAAGCAGCCCAATTGTCATGGCGGCTGTAATGAGGATTCTTCCACATTTGAGCCGAACGCACACCGCAATCGGACAGCCGGACTCCTTCTTTTTGCTGGATAGATTGTACACGTTCGTATGTGGGTAGTTCTCGAAATTAGGGTCCCCTTTTGGGTCCCCGGTATAGTACGGCACCCATATAAAAAGGACCCCAGAAGGGACCCTAATTTAGAGAACTACCCACGTGCATGCATGTATGTGATGTGCATGTGCCTCCGTTTGTTGCTTTACACCTGCAAAGCCTCTTTGCTGGTGTACGCAATATACTGTACGCACATGCAAGTAGCTTTGAAGACTCATTTGCTAACAAGTTGCGATATATCTCACCTGCAGGTTCCATGGACTGTCAGGATCGTCTACACTATAACTAAGCATAGTAAGTAGCCCCCCAAAACAAATCCAGTATCTTATGGCCACAAGATGGAGGTCAACGTCATCACGATGATGAGGGCTGGCCATCCTGATGTCCATGATGAGGAGTACGACATTGGGTTTTGAAGATGGTAACTCTTACCATCAAATAGCCCAAAAGCCTCATATAATTGGGTCTTTGGGCCCAAAAGCCTGAAAGTATGAGTCCTTTGAGGGTTAGGGTAAGAACATTTAAGAACGCTTCTACGTAAGCTTCGGAGCCCCTTTTGCTTCAACGTAAGCTTCAGAGGTGCTTCATTCCCTGGTTAGGGCTCTGGGGCTGGAAGCCACCGCCCTTGCGTTCCATGTATTTTCGCCCGGGAGTACGCCTGCTTCCTGCGACATGTAAGAACCATAACGATAGTAAAACAAATATGGAAGGACTAAAAACGTATGCAAGGATGTCTAGAATACATAGATAGATACATCACTAATTCGTCCACTCATCAATCGCCATACACAGAACAATAATTACGCATCATCATTTTGATTCGTAGTAGGTAATGGTCTTTTTGGCACCTCCAAGACCCTAAACCCTAAACCCTAAACCGTTTAAGACTTCGGCCCGAAACCTGAAGCAGCCCTAAACCCTAAACCCTAAGCCCTAAACCCTAAACCCTAAACCCTAAACCCCTAACCCCTAAACACCTTGAGGTGCAGGTTAGCATCTTCGTGGGCCGGCCACTGCGGTGCAGTTTGGGGGTTTAGGGTTTAGGGTTTGGAGCTTTAGGGTTTAGGGCTCTTGGGTCTAGGGGTTTGGGTAGCTGTTTCGGGTGTAGGGGGTTGACACTTGAGTTTGGGGTTTCACTTTTCACTGTCAGGCCTGGTTTAGGACCCTGAGCCTTAAACCCTATACCCAACTCCGGTCTAGGCGCCTCGGCTTCGGGCTTAAAGTTTCCTCAAGCGTGGCACCCTAGAGTCCATAGAGGGCTCTTGTCAGAATGAGGCATTGTGACGAACAGATACCTGCAAGGGAAGCATCTGCACTCTGACATCAAACTTTTGGCCATGAGTCCTAGCTGCTTGTCAAACTGCGTCGGTAGTGTAAGTTGGTCGAACTTCGTATCATCGTGTTGTAGAACTTCTTGCAGCTCCCCGGATCGGAGGTTCACACCTCAGTCCAGACAGGATCTTCTACCGGGGGGTCCTTATAGGATTCAGCATGTAGGGACCTAAACCACTAAAGCCTAAGCCCTTGAACCCTAAATCCTTTTCAACCCTTAAACCCTGAACCCCTGAACCCCTAAACCCTGAACCCTAAACCTTCAACCCGAAACCCTAAACCCTAAACCCTAAACTCGAAACCTTAAACCCTAAACCCTAAACCCTAAAAACTGACCTCCGCTCCCGAGGTTCATGTGTTCCAATGAGGGCTGCAACTGTGGCGCCGGACAGCAGCCGGACTTCGAAACGGGTTTGGGTCTGTTTAGGGTTTAGGGATCAGGGTTTGTTGTTTAGGGTTTGGAGTTTAGTTTTTAAGGTTTAGGATTTAGGGGTTAGGCTTTAAGGTTTAGGGTTTCGGTCTGGGGATGTGACTGAGCAAGTAATGTAGTAGGGGTATGAACCTCTGATAGCCCTTAACAGCCTTAGCATCGTTATAATATTCCAGTCCTTAACATGGAAATAATGTAGCAGAGAATCATCCCACAACCCGGTTCAAACTCTTGAGGCCTCTCCTGGTGTTATAGGTGCACTAAAGGCGTTGCACATGGCCAACCTCATTCTCAGACTGGCAGCCGATACAAAGTCCCCAAAATCCTAAACCCTAAACCTGCACCGTCATCGAGTCCTTCAATCCTAAACCCTAAACCCTAAACCCTAGACCCTGTCCCTGTAGTTAGAACTTGTGGAGTGAGCGCAAGTCATGTTGTGGCTCGAATCATCAGCAGTAGTGTCCCTGCCCCAAGTCCCTACGAAAGTATACTAGAACGTGCCCCTAAAGCTTGTTCTAAATGTTTAGGCTCTTGTGTTGCAACTTTCGCGGGCAGCTCTGTTCATTCAGTGAGGCTGGAATCCACATGCCATGACGACAATCATATGCCAGCCCACGATGAAGGAAGTAGCATGATGATCTCGGTGCATACGTGGTACGGCTAATGGTATAAATCCTGCGTTACCCATAATAAGGAATATACCATAATTCCCCTAGTTTAGGGTCCTTAAGGTACCTAATGCAGGATTTATATCATGGACAGTACTACAGGAATGTCTGAGCTCTTTTTGCACTAGAAACCTGACTGCCATGAACAGCATAAGTTATGTGGCAGGACACAGGGCTTGCCTTCGCCGGCCGAAGCCTAGCCAGTGGGAGATCTTTAAACCTTTTTGGCTTCATACATTTGGTCTATCTCAAGAAGTTTCAAATTTTTGAGCCCGGTTATTGAACAAGAGAGAGATCCTGTACATCTAAGCACTGTCAGGAAGGTGGAAATCAACGAGGTGGAAGGACTCTCCTTCTTCGACGCGGAGTTCATCCATCCTCGTCAGGAATGCCTGGGTTTAGCACCTTCCTCTTGCTGGGGTTTCTAGCTTCCGATGTTGATTTCAGGTGGTTTATAGAGAAATTACCACGATGACCCTAGAAGCCTCAAGTGGAGCTATAGTTTATGTTGCCCCCTAAACTCTGAAAGCCAAATCCTTCATGAGCAGTGGATCAAACCCTTTGGTGGAGGAGCGAAGGCCTACGATCTCTGCCCCATCTTCCGTGCTACAAGTGCCATGGCCCACCTTCGGGGCTCCTCCCAATAGTTTTGTCAATATCCTGTTATAGACCCTTTTTGTAAATATGTAACCCTATTCTACCTAACAGCCTAGCTACCTGAAACTCCAAGCAGTCTCAATCAGAAGTTTTCCAACCTAAGACCACGTTGAGCTGTCAACCTGCTTCGCGTAGGCCAGCTCCACTTCGTCGTTACATGGGGGGTTTCCGAAAAAGGGGGACCTAATATAGCACCCTAAATAGTAGGATCCTCATAATAAGGACCCCACAATAGCGCACCCTTATTTTCGGAAACTCCCACATGATAAGCAGGGGGAGGATGAGGGCGTGGAGGAGGCGCAGGCGGAGGAAAGCGAAGAGGAAGAGGATAGTGGCCGTGCTCACGTCACCCTCGCCAACATCCTAGTCATTGCAACAATGTTCATCATGGTTCTTTCTCAACAGCACAGTATGTTTCTGGATCTTCCAGCAGCAGAGGGGCAGGGACACCCGCGGCCACAGCAGCAAAAACGACAACGAAAGCCAACGAGAGCCTCGGGAGATTCACGGAAGGCAATTGTGGCGGCAACAACAACAAGAACAATTGTTGGGATGCTTCATAGACTGTTCATATCAGGGTCTATAGGGGTCGTGCATGATTTCATACACAGGTTGATATGGGCTTTATAGGGCTTTATGTCAGAGGCAGCAGTGGCACGGGCGGCATGAATGTCCGTAGAAGCCAGCAGCACTGTCGCCAACAGCAACAGACAAGCAGTTTTCTGAGCACGAGCGCTCGCAGCATGGAGGTACTTTTGTCAACAAAGGCGAGATCCGCATCTAGCACCGTCCTCCGCGAAATGCACATGCGCAGACCGTCGTAGCATCCAAGAACGACAACAACCTGAAGCAAGGCTAAGAAGAAGACTTGGCCAAGGTTGTGCTCCAACTGCAACCCGCTGAAGAGCCCCAGAACGAGGACCAAGGGAACCTAGACGGGGGCTCTGACATCTAGTTTTGGATACGTCCTTTCCATACTTGGAGGCCCAGGGGACTTAGTAAGTCGGTTATAAGTAGGGTTATAATTGGAGTAACTCCATTTAGGGTACCTATAACTCTACTTATAACCCACTTACTAAGTCCCCTGGGCCTCCAAGTAGGGGTTTGGAAAAGGTCCCTTTCCGTAGAACAGCCTCTCTGCGCGTCTGCCTGAAGCTTCGAAGTTTGGAGAGCAGGCAAATCCTAGGTAGTATTAGGGAGACCCCTAAAAGGGGGACCCTTCTGAACCCTATTTCTGGCTCTCTTAAAAGGGATCTTATTGTGAGGGTCTATATCCCCTAATCCGAACTCCCAGCAAAGCTTGATCTGAGGAGGCACGACGTGCCATTCCCAAGTATTCTCTTGATGACACCAGGGCATCTGGGGGTTCATCCCTAAACCCCAAGCCCCAGAGCTCTCAACCCCAAATCTCAACCCTAAACCCTAAACCTTCATCTCAACCCTAAACCCTAAACCTTCAGCTCTAAACCCTAAGGACCAACAGAATTGCCCAGCTTAGTCTGAACCCCCCCTAAACCCTAAACCCTAAACCCTAAACCCTAAACCCTAAACCCTAAACCCTAAACCCTAAACCCTAAACCCTAAACCCTCCCTCCCCCCCCTAGCAGGCCGTGGGTCGCGAGGGCACGTGCCCAGTGGCCTTGGAGCTCACGGAAGGATGCCTGGGGCAGGCGTCGTCTGGTAATATGGGGGTCTCTGAGAGTTCCTTGCTACTCATAGCATAAGATCCTAGTAGTAGGGTAGGTAACCTTTAACCTTTTTGGGGTAGTACAACCCCTATATGACCCCTATATAACCCGAAAGGTTAACCTTTAGTTCCCCATGATACCCGACAAGTAAGAGATACCGATCCCGAAACACTATTCTAATTATTCAGGCTCTGGCTTAGTCCCTGCATTATCATATCATACAAGATACCCCGAAACCCGATCCCTGTTTTCAGGCCGGTATAGCAACCCGTACTTCAACTAGCAAGCCATTTCCGATCGATCGAACGGTGGTCTGATGGTACGATTTCCTACACATTCCCTCACAGGTCAGATATTGGGTGCGGCAGGACCGCGGCTACCTCTCCAAGCTAGAGCAGCAAAACGTGTCGGCCCTTAACCCTATAATTTCTAAAGCCTTAACCCTAAACTCGCAAACCCCAGACCCTACAGGCGACTGCTGCAATCCGCCACGCTCTCGTCTGCTGCGATGAGATTGGACCGTCCAGCGCGGACGAGATTGCTTCGGACGACTCCTCGCCAGTGCGACAAGCCCTTTTGGACCTGGACCCTTGGCATTGCAAGCGAGTACTTGGAGGTTCATGGCACTTAATAATAAGTACAGTTATAAGTACCCTGAACTGGGGTTATAAGTAATTATAAGTATAGATACCTTATTTATAACCCTAGTTACTAAGTCCCATGAACCTTTAAGTAGGGGTATATGTGAGGAGGCTTCTGAAATTAGGGGCCACCTCAGAGGGTCTTTATAAATTAGAGATCATACTGTTTCTACTGCAGGATCGGTTTGTTTCCGAAATTTCTATGCTGGTAGAAAGGCCTTTGTCATGGGGCCATAGAGAGGTCATGTCATAGGCATTACGTTGTATGCCGAATGTCTACAGTCGACATCACTCTGTTTTCCTCGAGGTTCGTGCAGTCCGCTAATCCTTTCAAGAAGCATGTGGGTAGTTCTCTAAATTGGGGTCCCTTCGTAGATCCCCAATAATATAGCACGGCACCCTCATAAAAAGGCCCAAATACGGGACTGTAATTTTAAAGAACTACCCAAGTGAGTCGAGAAAGTCGGTAATTACCGGATGGCTGCCAGCTTCTTGGTTCGTTCCAGTGGCACGAGGGGCGCATGTTGAGCCCGAGAGCGACAGCCTCACAGCATCCCGCATCCCAAATGAACATCTTCAGCTATGAATCCTACATGCTAAACCCTGTGCCCTCGCTGTTCACTCTGTGACTTCCTGATTTCCTGAGGCCCCGAATTCGGACCTGTGAACCCTAAGCCAGAAGCCCTGAACTGAGGCCCTGAATTCGGAGCTCACGTTTCTCCAGTGGCTCGCTCGTGCCGACGAATACAAGGTCGGTGATCCCAACGATGCAAGGCAGGAGCGTTCAAAGACCAATCGATGGCTAGTGGGTATCCCTTCTATCCTAACTTGGCTAGTTACATTGCATTACGTTGTATGTTTACACCTGGTATTATGTTACTATGTCCTGTTAAATTGTATCTTGGTCCGATGTTATATCATGTATTAATGTTGGAGTGTGTCATAATACTTCATTTCTTGCACTAGACTTTACAATGTCATGTCGTATTGCTAGATGATGTTTGAGTATTTTATCTTGTTTTCGAATGAATACAAGTTAGGAAAGCACACTGAGTTATTAACAACAATTACATATTACATTCTGTCTCCTGTGTTACCATAATATACTCATCCTGTCACTATGTAGTATATGTACACATGCGCGCATGTACATGCAGGTACAATCTGCGCATGTCTAGGTGTAGATGCGTGCGTGAATAAATGAATAAACAGATGATATGTGTATATGTATACTATATAGATTTATCTCTATGTATGTTTATTATATTACATACATACATACATACATACATACATACATACATACATACATACATACACATTCATACATACATACATACATACATACATAATTACATACATACATACATACATAAATACATACATACCTACATAAATACATACATACCTACATCCATGCATACATACATACATACATACATACATACATACATATACATACATACAAACACACACACACATATTATGTAGAAAGCGATATAGAGTTGCATAGACACAGACGTGCATGTGCATATGTTGCAAATGATAACACTGACACACACACACACACACATTATATATTTCTAGGTAGTACCCCCTGAAACCGACCTCCAAGCCTTTCGCTACACATGTGTCTATACAAATGCACACACACACACACACGCACACATGGGTTAGTATTGCCGAATATGCCCAAGGGGGCTGTGTATGCCGGGTCATGCCTAACATACACGAGTATTTATACTGAATGCTGGCCTTGGTCAGTTGTCAGAGATGCGGCGGAAAAGTTTTCCGGAGAATCTCTGATCTATGATCTCCGATCCTGGCCGGGCTTCAATATAATTCAGCGTTTGATGCTGGAGCCGGATCAGAGATCACTCCAGAAAGCTTTTCCATGGCTTCTCTGATCTCTGATCCGGGCCGGGTTTCGGTAAAATTCTTCATGATTCAGTATGTTTACTAAAACCGGCGTGGGATCAGAGAACATGGATCAGAGATTCTCCGGAAAACTTTTCCGTGGCTTCTCTGATCTCTGACCCAAGCCTAATTCAGTATTTATACTGAACCATATGGTGGACATAAAACATAATCTTGGCAAATAAATATACCGTATGTTGGAGTTTATACTATTTATCTAGCTAGGTCTTAACATTCAGACTAGTTAAATGTCACATGCGCATGACTGCCGCACAACGGCAATGCACATGACTTTCACGTGCAATTGCAGTGACTGCTACTATTGCGCACGAACACCTTATAGAAGACCCCGTATATTGATACCCCCTGTACACCTTATACACACCGTATACTACCCAGGGAAATCAGTCCGAACCCAGGATCTGAGAATTCCTCAGTGGTTTCTGGGTTATTGACTAAGGGTTTCCTATGAAGGAAATAAGGAACCTAGAAGAAACGCCCATAACATACTTTACAGAATAACCTGTCTATGATACCCGAAGCAATACCTTAGTCAACGACCCTCTAAATGTTTTGTGCTTACACTATTGCTGCCCTATAGCCTATAGAATGCCCTATAGAGTACCTTCTAGAATACCACCCATATATACCTACTAGAATGCCCTATAGAGAGTCTGCAGGATTAGGTTGTAGAAATACTTCCTTTGATACTTTCTATATACCGTATATACATCTTTTAGCAGACCATCTGGACTATCCTACAAAATATGTTGTGGAATTGCTATGAAAGAAATGAGGAATACAGGAGAACAGCGTGTAGAATACTCAGAATACCCCTTTTATAAACCTCATATGGGAATTCCCGAAGCAATACCTTATAATTATAGAATGCCCCTATATACTTGGTGTTTACATTATTGAATAGCCCCGAAAATCCCTTGTAGAGTACCTTCCAAACTACCACCCATACATAAACTTTGTAGAATACCCCATAGTGCCATATCGAATATGTTGCAGAAAAAGAATTACATAGAGGAAATCAGGAGGAGCCCAAGATCTCACAGTTCCCCAGTTGGATTGCAGTTTATTGGGTAAGGGGTTATAGTATGAAGGAAACGCGGAATCTAGGATGTAGGAACTCATTGAATCGAAGCTTACAGTAAGGATTACATATAGAGAACAGAATTGTTATTGAATACCGCCGATACCTACCCTATAGACTACCTTCTACAATACCTTGTGGAATAACCTATGGAATACCTTTCAGACTACCTTATAGAATACTTTATACAATTCCCCCGATATGTCCTACATATACCTATAGAATACCATCTGAAATACCCTGTAGAATACCTTATAGAAGATCGCCTATAGAAGATACATCCTGCGTACCTTAAGCATGCCGCCATATAGAATAGCTATAGAATACCTTGTAGGAGACTCTTCAGAATTCCCTATCGAATACCCCATAACCCTAAACCCTAAACCCTAAACCCTAAACCTCTATAGATAGGGATTTCAATCGTGGAAAACCAGCCGGAGCTCAAAGTCTGAGAAATCCACAGTCGACTCGTAGCTTTTTGGTCAGGGGTTCCTATGAAGAAAACCAGGAACCGAGAAGAATAGTGTTACAACTGCCTTATAGAATACCTTCCTAAATACAGGCTACAGAATACCTTTTGCACAATACTTTAAGGAGTACCCTAAAGAATACCTTGTAGAATGACCTATAGACTAAATACCATCTGGGTTACCCTGTACCCGAATACCTCACAGAAGACCTTTATGTCATATACCGTTTGTATACCGTAAATATACCTCATCGAATATCTTCTAGAATACCTTATGGAATACCCTATAGCATACCCTATAGATAACGATTTAAGCACGGAAAATCAGGAGGAGCCCGCAGTTAAATTCAATAGCGTAGTCTATTCAGGACATCAGACAATACTTCGTGGTATGATCTAGGTTCGAACGGTGTTGTGTCGTCGTAGACAGGGAAAACTAGGCAGTATTTAGCATCCTTATCTTGGTTTGAACGGTTGCGGGATGCAAGGTTTCTGTTCCGAGTCGTAACGTAGTCTAGAAAGTACAACAGGCGGCTTCGACGTAGGTTTGAGGGCGGTTAGCATATACATGTATACACACAGTCTCATGTACGTGTGCATGCATGCATGCATGCATGCATGTACGTATGTTCATACATATATATATATATACACACATACACATGCGATGTACATGTGATACACAAACGCACATTTATGGATTGATTGATGATCTGTTCATCCCTGTGTGTGTGCCCGTGCGGGAATGTGCGTCGCCCTCAACTTCTGAAGACTCACGCAGGTTCCAGTTTGTTCACTACGAGAAGTGCGTGAAGCTCACCTTTGAAGTCATGCAGCGACCGGAGATGAGCTTCGGTACAACTTCGCCGTGGCAGAGATAGCAGAAAGATGCGTTTGCCATGATTTGCGAAGGCTGTGCTCGGGGCTGCAGCCGCACTGCACCGCAGGAGGCGAATGTTGTCCAAGAAGAAGGCAGCAGCAACACCGACAACAAGAGAAGAAAACAACCACGACAACAATGTGAAGAACAGCAACCGCAGTAGCAGCAGCATGGAGCAGCAACAGCAACAGCAACGGCAGCAGCAACAACAAGAACGGATACTGAATCGACTGCACAATGGTTGACAGTCATGGTGGTCATGTTGATGATGTCGATGGTGAAGGTGGGTGATTAAGATGTGAAACAACAAGTTGCGGACGAGAAGCCGGAGTTTAGGGAATAAGGATGTGTTCATGGTGACAGCACAAGATGATACGGGGATCAGGGGATAGTGATGTTGCTCATATATTGCGCTGAGGAAGATGAAGATGATGGTGATGCTGGTGGTGATTGTGATGATGATGGTGATGATGATGATGTTGATGCTGCTGTTGATGTGAGGGAGGAGGAAGAGGCGGAGGGACTATCATCATTAAGCTCTGCCCAAGCCATTCAGTCACGCCGTCCACCCGCCCTGTTGGCAGGATATGGGCATGTTGGCGGTCTGCCGGAAGGCCATGCAGAAAGCAAGACCAGGGAGTCGGAGTGACTGAGGTATTCAGTCGCAAGAAAGTTGTCAGGAAGCCCTAAAAAGGCCTAACCCTACACCCTAAGCCCAAAGCCCCTACTTCGATATCCCAGATGCGGCTGCCTGCTGGAATTTCCTTTACGTGAAATTGAAGAAGCGACACCTCGTTCTTAGCAAGGCCCTAGCAGCTGTAGCAGTATGCCTTTTCGAGTGAGAGAGACAGAGAGAAAGAGGCAGGGAAGGTGCATGAGCTTGAACCCTAAACCCTAAACCCTGACCCGAGAACTGCAGAGTAGAAGACTGAGTTTAAAAGGAACCGCTTTGTGGGCTCCGTGTCATGGACCCTCCGTTCATATGGGGGGCACAAGTTACAAGGGAGTGTTTTTTACCAACTATTCCGACCCTCATATGATACTGAAGCTCAAGCATCGTAACACTTTAGAAGAACTTTCATCCAAGAGTCCTCCAGCTCTACCACATAAAACACACAAACGCCCCCAGCCCTGTTGAGCTCCCCTGAACGTAAAATCTGCATACCTGGAAACCTTCGAGGCAAGAACTCAGAACTCCGAGAAGTGTATGGCATGTTTTCCTATGGCTGAGGTACTAAATTCTATCGGACATGTCGTTCCTGATACTTCGCTCTGCTGCTCTTCGAACATCGCTGATGATAGCTTGTTTTGTTCGATTCCTTCGTGCCTTTGGTCGTTCTTCTCTAGCAGGTCTGGGCTACAGAAGGCATCCGCGGCTTTTTCCGAGGGGTCGGGGGCCTGAGAACTTGTCTACGCGTTTTTTTTTTGGTTTGCGGTTTTGGATTTTTTGTTTGGCTGTGGGCCCGTGGTTTGATGATGGTTTAGAGTTTAGATCGATTAAGCTTCATGAGACAGGGTTTTATGGTTTGGATGTGGGTTCCTTCTGGTTCAGATAACGAAGGGCTACTGGAATGTAACCCTAAATCCCAGGCCCGAAACCCCCTAAACGCAAGACCCAGTCATCGTCAGACCAGGCGCCGTCTAGTTTAACTTCCCGGTAGGTTTGAACATCTTGAACTCTGCCGTCTGAGTCACCGAAGGTCACTTTTGAGATAAGTTACTAGGTGGCAATTTGGGAAACTTTGAAGTTTCCCTTATGGTTTCTATAGAGGCACCTATTCATAAATACTTTTCAAGGCCCCAAAACTACAACCCAGGTTATCATTCTGCATGCATTCCATTTTCTTTGGAGTGGGGTTCAGGTGGTACGTTGTACTGCACACATGAGCGCCACAAAAAGCCTCAAAACCCCACCCCCCCCCCTCCCCCGCTTTCCCAGGTAGTCCCGCCTCTCATGGGCAGTTCTGTCTCAGCCTCGGTTGCGGACGGCCCCGGTTCGGTCTCAGGCTCCTTCGCGCAGGCCATGATCGAGATGAGAACGACTGACATTGCGCTTGGTATTGTTTTCATTTGCGAATGATACGAATGCTACAATGTTCATGCCATCGACAAATTCTCTGTTCTCGGAAGAAGTGCCACGGCCACTAAAGCCATGCAGTTCACCATGAAGTCTTGACAACATAATCTAAAGTATTACGCCTAGATAACATGAATGTACGTCGAGCTAGCTGTGGTTTACCAGTCAAAACCTAAACCCTGAACCCTATATAGTAGAAGCCCGAAAGTTGCAAAACCAACAGCCTCAATCCTTAACAGTAATATGCAGGGAATCCCAGCACTAATTATCCTTGATCCGGTTTCCAACTTTTTGGGGTTTATAACAAACCCTAAACCCTAAACCCTGAACCGTAAACCCTAAACCCTAAACAAACAGTACAACTGCGTCTTGAATCTTGTAACCACATAACTCCTCCCTCGAGCCCTCAGTAAGTTCACCTATCTGGGCCCTCTGAAACCTATCTTCCCAGGG